CGGAGGAACCGCGGCGGCGGCGGCATCCTCGCCGCCTGCCCCGGCCCGGCCGCGTCCGGGAGCCGTCGGGCATGGAGCCGTGGAAGCAGTGCGCGCAGTGGCTCATCCACTGTAAGGTGCTGCCCGCCAACCACCGGGTCACCTGGGATTCGGCGCAGGTGTTCGACCTGGCGCAGACCCTCCGCGATGGAGTCCTACTCTGCCAGCTGCTCAACAACCTCCGGGCGCACTCCATCAACCTGAAGGAGATCAACCTGAGGCCGCAGATGTCCCAGGTAAGGAGGCTGGCGCGGGCGCCCGCGGTGCCCACGGCGCCTCCGCCACCAGCCGGCATCTCCCATTAATCTTCCGGCTGATTTCTTTGTGTAGATGCAAACATCTAGGTGCGCTCCGCTTTCCCGGCCTCCCAGCCCACTGCTTTGGGATCCAGTTCAGCTTGAAATGCTTTAGTTCTTTAGCCGAATGTTAAAGCCCTGCGTCCGGAGATGGTATGAGGCTTTCTGTGAGGCCGGGAAAATAAGTTCTTAGGGTGCCTTTACTTTTTTGGGGGGGTGTTTGGACGGCGACAAAGGAAATTTGATCCAGTTTTCTATAACAACGATGGAGAGGGATGAAACGAAATGATGGGATAATTTTGCCTTTAGTCAGTTCTCTTGCTTTTCGTTTTGTCCCCATGTTTTCTTGAAAGAGGAACCATAACATAAATGAGGACTTTAGGAAGTGGAAGGCGTTCCGGTACCGTTATCTGTACAGGAACGACACTGGTCAAAAGGGAGGAAAAGGGAGCAGAACACAGCGGCCGCCCTCGAAGGCCCCGTGAGCTCGTGGCCAGCTGGCAAGCTAGATGGTTGTGTTTACAGCTCTTCTTAAACCATGTGAGAAGGAGCGAGCCCAGCCTCTCTCAGCAGCGACAGGAAACGAGAAGTTTAGCTCGAGATTCCGCTTTCCTTCATTCAGGGCTCTCTACTCAGGTGGTGTGGTATACGCTTGGCCCTGTGGTTGGAGCCTTGCGTGGAGCTGCCACTTTGAGGGTTTAAAAGCTTGCAACTCTGGGGGGCTGTGTGCACCCTAGAGTCAGTTCAGAAGTCACATTTCAGTGGAATAGTAGTTTGTTGATGCTGTCGGAAAGTTTTGTGCAGAAAGATGTTAAACACGATTCTATTTTCTCTTTCACACTGTAAAAAAAAATCACTTTGAACTTAAAAAATGAGAGGAAAGAGTACCCTGTATGACACATTTTAGGACTAAGCCTGTATGATACAGAGGTGCAGCTACTTAGCAACCAGAGCAGTGTCTTAAGAAGGAACTGACTTTATATGATTGAATAATTATATATATAGAGTTAGAGAACACTCACTCATCTCTGATTCTTGGAGTCATTGTTTCATCAGGGTCCTCCTGCACCTCACATTCTGAGGGCATCCTTTGCCCCTCTGCCTTTAACTTCATGGTTGGCAGTCCCCAAGAAAGAGTAGGCTTGTAGGCAGTGAGAACCATATCTATTTAAAAGTGAGGTAAATTATTTTGTGCTCTCTCATAAACCTGTGTGCTGATTGCTAACTCTGTGGACCGCTTAAGAGTTGTCCCAGCTCTGGACATCTTGTCAGGGGTTTAACAGACAAGGAGCTGCTGTCCTCAGAGTTCTGTAGGGAGCTGCAGTTGGTTATCCAGCCCCAAGTGTCCCCATTTTCCACCTTGCTTATGGCCTCAGGAGGCAGTGTGGACCAGGATGCCTTGGCCCACCAGCAAGGAGTACAATACTGTGCTAGTTTCCTGAAACTTTAGCTTCCTGGGGCCCTCAGGGAATAAGTTCTCAATAATCAAGTCTTCAGGACAGCTGAGGGTTTCCCTTTTTCCCCCCTCAAATTTTTATTTGAATGTTAACAGTGGATGAAAATCTTTTTAAGTGTGTTTTGCTCTTTCTTCTCCTTTTAGAATATGGTGTAATTTAATCTTTTTTAATGATTAAGAGTCATCATTAGAAGTGTCACTAATGAAAACCGAGCATGTACAGTGTTATGAGAGTTCTGTCCTGTACTAAGGGCACTGCAGTGAAGACAAGCTCCTTGCTGTCAAGGAATTATTACACTGCTATCAGATAAACCACAAGATTCAAATGGGATAAACAGGACAGCTTAAATGACCTTCCTTAAGCTGTTGAGTTCTTAACTCTGCTCAACCCTGAGCTTTCTGATTCCAAGTTAAGTACAGTTTCCATTGTAAATGTCCTAAGAGTGAGGGCTACTGCCTGAATATAGTGATGTCTTGTTTTTTTTTTAAAATAAAGCAAAGTTGTTACCATGAAGACCAAGGTGTGCCTGACCCAAGCCATGGTGTTTTCAATTGCCTCAAATGAATAAGGAAGACTGAAGAATTGATGCCTTTGAATTACGGTGTTGGCGAAGAATATTGAATATACCATGGACTGCCAAAGGAATGAACAGATCTGTCTTGGAGGAAGTACAGCCAGAATGCTCCTTAGAAGCAAGGATGGTGAAACTTCATCTCAGATACTTTGGACATGTTATCAGGTCGGACCAGTCTCTGGAGAAGGACATCATGCTTGGTAAGGGAGAGGGTCAGTGAAAAAGAGGAAGACCCTCAATGAGATGGATTGACACAGTGGCTACAACAGTGGGTTCAAACATAACAATGATCATGAGGATGGCGCAGGACAGGGCAGTGTTTTGTTCTGTTGCATAGGATCACTATGAGTCAGAACCAACTTGATGCACCTAACAACAAAGTTTTTTGCTTGGTTCTTAGCCACATTGCAAAGAGGTAAGTTTGCTGGACAGCTGAGTCCTGGAGAGATGAGTTTTTATTATACAGATTGTCATTAAATGAGACTTACTAAATGGTTTTATGAAACAAGTTGATGTATTTAGCATGCCTACAGTGCCCAGCATATAATATGCAATTAATAACTGTTTGTTAATAGCAAAATTACTTAAATTTTTTTCTGATATTGTCACATTAAAAGTAAAGGCTTACAGTCAAATTTTAAAACAACTGCAAAGGTCTACAAGTTCCCCAGGGATGGCATCTCTTTCTCCCTCTGACTACAAATAAATCTTTCTAGGGAAAGGTTGTAGTTGCTTTAGTTATAGGATTCTACACCATCAGCTCCGTTCATACAGTATAGTGGAATTCCTAGTAACCTACTGAGTCCCAGACACGTCCCAGTAGAATTTGCTCTTCTGAAGTTAGAGATGTTATTACTTGTACTTGTGGCTTTTTTGCCCTGTCTAAAAGCCAGTCTGTCCACCTGACTTAGATTCTGTTGAAGATATTTACTTGAAATAGACCACTGCCTTATAGCACACAATTTCCTAAGGCAGGAAGTAAGGGGAAGCTCTCCTTTCAGAGTTTTGTAGCATTTGGAGACCATTATGAGCAGATGTTGACAAAGGAAATTTTAGTTTATTGATGTTTTGCTTGTTTTTTTTTTGTTTTGTTTTTCCATAAAAGATGTTATAAACTAACCTCTCTTAATAAGAGCATTTATCTTCAAGGACCAAGATGTTCTTCTATTTTTATTTGTTAACCTTCTGCCTTGTTTGCATTAAAAAAAAAAATCTCAGGAGAATAAAGAAAACCAAAGACACAAGGGAAAGATTAGTCCAAAGGCCTAATGGACCACAACTACCACAGCCTCCACCAGACTGAGTCCAGCACAACTAGATGATGCCAGGCTACCACCACCAGCTGCTCTGACAGGGATCACAATAGAGGGTCCTAGACAGAGCTAGAGAAAAATGTAGAACAAAATTCTAACTCACAAAGAAAAGACCAGACTTGCTGGTCTGACGATGACTGGAGAAGCCCTGAAACTATGGCCCCCGGACACCCTTTTAACTCAGTACAGAAGTCACTCCTGAGGTTCAGCCTTCAGCCAAAGATTAGAAGGCCGATTAAAAAAAAAGAGAGAGAGAGAGACTAAATGGGCACACTAGCCCAGGGGCAAGGACTAGAAGGCAAGACGGGACAGGAAAACTGGTAATGTGGAACCAAAGGTCAAGAAGGGGAGAGTGTGGACCTGTTGTGGGGTTGACAACAGTTGTCAAAAAACAGTAATTTGTATTAATTGTTTAATGAGAAATTAATTTGCTCTGTAAACCATCATCTAAAGTACAGTTAAAAAATTCTTCACATAATGATTGCATAATTATAGGTTTGTATCTTGGGGTCTTAAGTTAGTTGATAATGTGTCAAAATAGAAGTATAAATGGCATCCCAATTCTCTTTCTAATTGTTTTTCCCGAGGAAAAAAAGAGGACCATCTTTTTCAGTTAAAAAATCAGTACATGTAGTCCAGTGATGGAGCTTTTTTTTTTCTTTCTTAACCCTGATTTAGATTTTATTTATAATAGTTACAGAATTAAACATTAATCACATTTAGTTATACATTTAACACATTGCTTTTATTATAAAGAACAAAATTACATAAAATGCAGATGGTAAGCGATAATCAAAAAAATTTGGTGTCTGTCTATATTAGACAAGGAGCCCTGGTGGTGCAGTAGTTAAGTGCTTGGCTGCTAACCGAAAGGTTGGTGATTTGAATCCAACAGCTGCTCTGAGGGAGAAAGATGTGGTAGTCTGCTCCCGTAAAGATTACAGCCTTGGCAATCCTATGGGGCAGTTCTACTCTGTTTTATAGGGTTGCTATGAGTTGGAATCGAATCAATGGCAGTGGTTTTTTTTTTTAAATCACTGTTTACAGTACTGAATTGTCTTAAAAATGAATTTATTCAGGCTTCAAGGATCCCTTCAACAAATATTTATTTGCTCCTACTATGTGCTAGGCACTGTTTTATAACACTGCATGGAGCAGTAAACAAACTCATCAAAGCCTCAGCTTTCATGGGGTTTAATTCTAGTGGGGGAGATTGATAATAAATAAAATGGTTATATAATATGATGTGCTATGAAGAGATTTGAAGCCGGGTAAGGGACTAAAGAGAAATGGTGGTACTATTCTAAAGAGAATGATCTAGGAAGGCATCTTTGAAGAGGGGGCAATTGAGCAGAGAGCAGAAGAGAATGACGGAACAAGAGATTGTGGATGTGTGGGAGAAGAGTATCCTAGGCAGAAGGAATACCAAATGCTGAGCATGGTAGAGGAACAGCAAGAAGGCCATCCTGGCTGGAGGAGAGTGAGTGCAGGAAAGAATGGGAGGATGAGGACAGAAAGAAAATGGGAGCCAGATTTTTAGGACTGTATGGACCATGGTAAGGACTTTGGCTTTCCTGCTGAGTGAAATGGGAAGCT